AACACGGTCACTGTTGACAGAATATCCGTTCTTGGTCTTTGGAATATTAAAATAGGCAATTATATTTTATCTATAGCACATTTTCATTTTCAACAACAAGGCAGTTCAAAGTGCTTTAATTCCTTGAGCATCTTTAATATATGCACATTTTACAGACGGGGTTTAAAACAGTCATAGCTACTCTTGGGTGGAGGTGCATGGTGGTTGTGAATCCCAACCCCGGTGAACACAGACAGCCCACTGTTCTCTAATTTCTCTAATTTTGACTTTTTTGGCCATTTTTCAAGAGAATGTAAAGGACAACCCAAAACTGTTCCTTTCACTTAGTGGTTGGGTCGAGCCATTTATTGTCAAACATCTGCGTTTGCTCTTTTTGAATGGTAAGGACAACAGAAACTACCTAAATGACTCTGATCAAAAGTTTACATACCCTGGTGATTTTGGCCACAGAACGTGCATTCATGTTGACACAAACGAGTGTGAACAGCTGAGCGAGTTACTGGGCTCCCAACAGACCCTAGTATCTTTCATCCAGTCCTGCACTGACGTTTCTGGTTTCTGAGTCTCGAGGAAAGCAAAACAACTACAAAAGCAGCTCACAGACAAGGAACTTGAGCTTCTGGACAAGCTGGTGAGAAGAGCTGTAATGTAGTAGAGATGGACATTCAGCAAACCGACGCCCTCTTCAATACATAGTTCTCATGTAACGTCAACTTTGTAGTTGACAGCCATCTTGGTAGGCACCGTAACTAACAGTTATGACAGTTGCTATGGAGTTGCTATGACAACAATAAACAAGCCACAAGGTTTGAACCAGCTCTAGCGTCGTCCCTATCTAACAGCATAAGTATATTACAACTATTACTCGAGAACAATTTTTGAGAACTCTTCCCTCCTACTTGCCTACTAAGATGGTGTGGATCACATCCGGTTTAGATTTGTAGGAACTATCTATTAAGTTTTTATTAGATCCTATTTGCTGAAAAATGGTCAAAAAATAAAAAAATTTACCAGGGTATGTAAACTTATGAGCACATTTGTAAGTAGATTTACTGGTTCACTTCCTGCCGAAAGCTGAACACAATTTAAACATTTCCTGTGTCTGAAGGGCAATGTTTAGATTTCCCTACAGCACAAGGGTTTCAGTGTAAAAATAAGATTACACTGGGTTATGAATTAGCTTCCAGCAATAGCTTTAATTTCAAATCAGGCAGAACATTTAGCATCTCGGTAGGATAGTAGATAAGCACTGACCAGGACTCAGGAGCAAAACTAAGGCAACCAGAAGTTCTGCAAAGATTTTCACGAAGGCAAATTATTCTTCTGTTTTAGTGAGAATGAATCGTCGTCCTTCTGAACGAAGCTGCCCCCGATATGTTAGCCTGTCAAAACCTGTAAGTTCAGCTTTCAGGGTAAAATAACGTCCAACTTAAAAAGCAGGGACTCGAGCAGGACACCGTGAGGAACTACAGCTTCTGAATGTTTGAATTTCCTCGTCTGTGGTGAATGGAAAGCCGATACCTTGGTGATACTGCCGTAGTTCATCTGAGAGGTCGTTTCCATGGCAATGAGGGTACTACTGTCCTCTCTCTTCTCCGCGCTGCTCTTCATCCTCGCCCACCTTTCTCCTCCTCCTCCTGTGGAAACACAAACCCGCTCAGTAGCTCACAGCTCACATCCTGTCATCTTTCTCTCGTCATCAGGTCTGCGGTCGCTCCGAGTCGCGTTGTTCAGGTGTCTTACCTGCTTAAATGAGCACTTGCACCGCTTTCCCCAGTAAATTCAGCGCAGCTCAAAGTGCTGGAGTCGTTTTTCCAGGAGCTGTTGATTCTTCAGCAGAAACACGCAGAGGTTTTTATTCAAAAACTGCTCAGATCGTGGTTTTAAATTCAGAAACCGTCTAAAAGTTCTGTTGCTGTTTAGATTTAATTTTAAATTGAAGCCACCGATTAACGCTTGTAGTTTTGATCCTGTGAGGATCAGAGAGAATCCAACAAATTCAAATTATTGTCCTTAATTCCAGTTTAAAAACAAAAAAAGAACGGCTTGAATAAACAACCAGAAATTAATTAAATCTCAACTCGTATCACTGCTTGATCACTGAAAAAATATAGTGATTAAGATAAGTTGTTAATCACTATAAAAGAATAAATATGTACAAGAAAAAAAAATTTCCTGAATCAACTTAATGTTTTGCTGTCTTTTAAGAAGATAAATGATTTTTCTGTTTAAACTAAAAGTGAGTCAAAGTGATATGAAGGATCCGTTTCCTCAGGCTGCTCACCTGCAGACAGTCCAGGTCTCCTCTGCAGCTGTCTGGACCTGCAGCTGCTGACCCAGACCGCGAAGCTCCGCCCCCTTCACACTAACCCCGCCCACATGTACGCCATTAACGGATTTCACTTTTTAAAAGGTATTTTTTATTAGAAGAGTCAGAGAAGAAAATCTGACAGTTTTCAGACCAGATCGTGAAGTGAGTAGTTTTAATTAACAAAAAGAGGAAAAATGTGTCAATAATAAAAAAAAAACAATATGCCATAAGCATCATATTTAAAACAATTATTTTATAAATCATGGCAGTTGTTTTTTGTATAATACATATTAAAGTAATGTGAAATATTTAGTCCAGCATCTAAAATGAACCGGTCACATGAGGCAACATGCTGCCACCTGCTGGCGCCGCAGAAGAACAGCAGCTTACCACTGAATATTAATCATGTTTCTGCAGCTCAAAGCCTCCAGGTCAGAGGTCAGAGGCTTTTTTCTTCAATCTGCTGCAGCTTCTTTACCAGTTCAGGAGTCAAAGAAGGCAGGACTCTGAAGATTTTCTACAACGTTTCCATTTCCTCTGAACTCTTGACTTTTCATCTCTCACTTTGGTTATGATCTTCCATTTGCTGACCTGCGTCTCACACCAAGCTGTTTTTGTCTGGACTGCATGATGATCATTAATGTTTCTGAAATCAGTTCTTGTCTGATGTGGTTGGCCCTGACCCTTCAGGTGGGCTCAGTAAATCTAGACCTTTATGTTCAAATTATTATGAACCAATCAGACATATTGTGAATCACATGAACTGAAATGTCCTGAATGAAACAAGCCTTCAAATCAATGGTTTCTTTATTGTAACAACAAAATGAATAATTTCACATGTAACGATTACATTTCATTTTTAATCAAGCATTAGCGAAAATACAATAAAAATAAAACACCGAATCTGACCTATAAAATAAACATGTAACATTCAGAAATTTGCAGTAAATATTTACTTTTTCTCACTAAGACAAGTTGGTGTTGCTTTGAAATGAGCTAAACTTAAAATACTTCAAAAAATCTACATTAATTGACCAACAGTTGAGCAGCCGGAAGAAATGGAAATAACCTACTGCTCCAGAAGCAGATTAATTTATATCACTGCAAGTGACCAAAACACAAACATTCATAGCCCAAGCTAAGCCTAATTTAAGTTCCCACATCCAGAATGCCTGTGCTGGATGTAACTTGTTCTAAATATTATTGTACATCATAAGCCGCTTGGAATAAGCTTTAGCTTCCTCCAGCAGCAGAAGAAAAGACATTTTCATTTTCAGTGGTTCTACTTCAAGCCTCTGTTTGAGGAAGTTCCTGAGAAGCTTTCAGCTCTGGGTCGGTCAAGGTTCTGAGGAGAGTTACTCAGAAATCTCACAGGTCTTTGATTCTGGTTTCAGAAGGTAAAGGTAGGAAGACACTTCACCGGCACACTGTTCTGTGACAAGTTGGAAAGCTAAATTATTTTATATTAGTCCAGTAAACATCCAGAAGGAGCCCAGCTCTGCAGGTTGTAAAACCTCCACATGAACCGGTCAGTTCTGATGCAGCCAGGCTTCAGGTCAGCTGGAACCGTTTTCTCTGGGGTCGTGTTCAGATTGTTGGTAATGCAACGCAGTGATCGCATTATAGTAGGCCTTTGGATCCACGATGACCTGACTCAACATCCTTATCATTCGGCATCATGGCTTTCCCCAAAGCCTGGAGGTACACAAGAAAATGTATCTAAGACCATTCCTGCCAAACACATGGCCTACTGAAAGGAAATGATGCTCAAACTAAACTTCAAGGATTTAAATGTTGGACCTTATTCTCAGCCAGCGCCTGTTTAGCCATGTAGTACTCCCTCTTTATCTTAATCTCCACCTCCTCTGGGATGTCAGAAACCGTCAGGTCAATCAGTCGGCCGATGAAGAAGACCACATGCTGAGGTACAAAGATGGTGAAACACACATCATCAGTCAGACAACAGCGGCTTCTTTCAGTCACCTCTGATGGCGCTCTCACTCAACTAAAGCTTCTCCAGTGAAAGTCCATGACACTAGCATGGCATTCAGACCAAACACGTTTCACATGTCAAAAAGGCGGTCAGCGCCTCAAGTTGGACACTGAAGTCAAACCCTTGCTCTATTAGAAACTGTAAGAGACACTGACCTCAAAGACGACGACGAAGCTGAGTCGTATAGCAATGAGGTGAAAGTACTCCGGCAGATAATCACCGTTATCATCCCTGAAACCTCTATACCTGCACAAAACCAATGTTAAGGTCCAAACCTGCTGCCATTGGGAGGACAATGGTACCGGACAGGCAGATTGAGGCCATTACTTGCAGGTGGAGTTGTGGCTGAGCGGGGCTGTTGCCAGGGTGAAGTTAACGAAGCCGCGCAGGGTGCTATCCCTGGTGTAACGGTAGTACAGCCGAGGCACAAAGGACGAGGTGAAGGCAATGAGAAAAGCCTGGAAACAGATTTTGGGAAAGTATTTTCTATCTCTCAGGAAAGCTGCTCCTCATCAGGACCGGAGACTCACGTTGCTGATGACGGCCATGTGTGAGATGAACTGCAGGATGTGAAACCAGATGCCGATGTCCTGAGCTCGCTCCACCACTGGGCGGCGAAATTCCTTCACGTACTTCTGAGCGTCCAAACGGATTTCCACCCAGTTGTTCATGAGAGCGAAGAGAGGAGCGAGAGGACACGCTGCCACAAAGATGGTGATGAAACCAAACTGAAGCACTGAGAAGAGAAGCACTAGATTTCAGAAACAACCCACAGTCATGGAGGCTCTTTGATTCTGGAGCAAACAGAGGCTTTGGTTACCCATCTCCAGATATTCACCGAAGAGTCCCTCACAGACCAGCAGCTCGTAATCTGCCTCCCAGGGAGAAACGTCCATCATCGTCTGAGTCCCCTCCCCTGCCTTCAGGAGAGGATGCATTTTGTTTCTCTGCCACCACGC